CCGACACGCAATCGCCCACTCCACATATATATGAAGCAGAATCCGAGAAACGGAACAGGCTTTAAGTGATAGAGTACTTCTTTTGCCCTTCGGAAGGAGGTGGACTGGGGAGGCGACCGTTGGACAGGATAAACCTAACTGGAATCTTGGATATTGGATTGTTGTTGTTAGCCAATAACAATCCCGGTTTGCTCACTTTCTGAAACCTGTGCCAGTGGACTGCGAGAGGTTAGATCACTAAAATCAAAGCAAACTTTTCCAATCAGAAACTAAAAAAGAACAGTGTTGTGTGGATGAGTTGAGACTTTTTCCACCAGAGAAATATTTAATTATCGTGCTTGATTTATGTTTTTCGGTCGACACGTCAAATATGTGCAAATATGTTCAGTTCAATTCTTACAACTATTAACCATGCACTTTTGTGCCCCTCTTTTGGTTGCCCATTTGGTTAAAAGAACAGGATGAAGATTGGAATGTTGAGGGAGCCTGACGGGACCTATGTGACCCAGTCTCCTCGTTAGGGCTTTCATACCGTTATGTCCTCGTTTGACCACCCTTGAACTTGGCCTTTTGTATGCGGGCCGACACTTCATCTGTGATGCGTCCAGCAGGTGAGATAATGTAAACACGTATTGATGATGGGTTGGTGTTTGACCTATCCGATTGTTGAAGCACATGACCATAATTGATGAGGCAACCGAATGTGCTACCTCAGGCAACCCCACAAGAAACTCGATATGGTCGATCTTGAGACACTTCGTGGGAGCAGATCACACCGTTGACCGGAACTCTTCATGTACAACATGTGTATGTGATCCACTGTTGGCTTTACCTGTACTCCTGTACTCCAAAGAAAGGGACCCGGAGCGTTTTCTTCACCCTCGACAGCAGTTTGGTCTGACTGTTGCTTCCCTTACAAACTGCTCTCCAAATTCTTGCACATTAAATACACCTTTGCATGCTGTTATTAGCACGCTCTTCTTTAGTAGCTATCGGGCAAGTGAAAATGGGTCAACCTGGCATCCAGTAGGTTACCATAGCAAAATACATTTACAGACCATGATCTCAATGTAGTTGCTACTGAGGTAGCCAAGTGCGTCGGTATGTAGTGCGGGGTTTCCAGTTGCCGCATTCTATCACTTCAAGTTGTCAATTAAAACCTACCTGCTCGTGACTTTTTACAACCGACAAGTTTGTCTCGCAACTGTAAACTACTGGAGATTGTTCAATCCTTCTCCGTCCCAAAATGACATAAATGACATAGTCCCCCCTCCCCGTTGTGATGCGGAGATGCTGACAACTCGCGAGTCATGTCTTTTATCAAATTGATCAACTGGATGAAGCGAACCCCGATGTCTGCAAAGCATACAGGTGTTGATCAAACTCGTGCAGCATCATTTCTCATTTTGGAAATCCATTTCAGCCCTCAAAATCATACTTGTATATTGATAGCTACGGGTAAAATGTATTTAGTTCTGATTTTATCTCCCACATCTATATTATTTGTCCTCTCTTACCGCCGTTTGAATTTGCATGACCTTGAGTGTTTCGATGAAATTTGTAGCAGTTCGAAAATTACAGCTCAGATTGAGAAAATATTTTGAGCAAAGCAGCATGGGAATTCATTCTTTTTAATAAATGATTCCGGTTTCATGAGATTGTTTATGAACTTGAGTACATGTATTCTAAATTGCTTATCTCTTTGAATTTGGTTCACAGTTAATAAGTAAATTAATGAAAGTATTCTAGCTTACTTAAATTTGTAAACTACTTACGCATTATCCACAATACTAAAATAACCGAAAACATAATCCAAGAAACATAAAAATGTCCTTTTTCTGTTTATTAAATATAAAAATTTACAGTCAACTTTCAGGAAGAGGGCTGCGGCCATACAAGGGCTGCCTGGGGAAAACACAGATATAGGGAAGACGGACGATGGTGGAGGGTTTGAACCCTGGACACCCAGGTTAATAGTTGGTGGCCTAACCAATTGGCCACCACCGACCAGGAGTGGATCTCCAAAAGTTGATCTTGAGGTGTGCGGCTCGTTGAATAAGCGTTGTGTTGTGTCACCATACCCAAACCGGATGAAACATTCAAAAGGTTTTGGCATACAATTGAAGCTAAAGGACAACTTAATTCGGCACATAAATCTAATGACTCAGTTCCTGACAAGAGCAAGTGTTTTGATTTGAACAGTAGCCCGATTTGTTGCACAATCAACGGAACTTCCCCATCCAGACATAAACCGAGAGGGAGAAAACCGATCATATCAAAGCAAGACGATGGTCGTATTCGATCACAGCAGAGAAGAGTTGCATAGGACCATTCTGGAGGATAGTCCGGGCTGATTAACGGCTTTTTCCTCACGCCTTAGTTTGGAAAATGAAGGTCCAATTTAAAGTGCAGCTGAGGCCACGCCATATAAAGCCGTTATGGAACGCCCAACAAAGCAGTGCATTTATTGATTTTACCGCCAAATTCAAATCGCGTCACCCATCCATTTGGCAATCGGTTTCTTTCACTGATGCCCAACAAGCAATTCAACATGCAACGAAAGTTTATCTGCTAAGCTAGTTTTCTAATGAATTTCGTTTTACCTGTCAAAAGAAGTAAATATTCACCCCGCCTGACGAGTTAGGACGGAAGTAAATACTGAGTGCCCTATTATCGGTCTCCTGTACACGCCAAG